AGATCAAAATTATCCTTTAATTTAAATACTCAACGAAAAATTAATATACAAAGATGTTTATCATCTTGTGAAGAATTAGATTCTATGCAAAGTATTATCGTAGCCAATACATGGACTGATAAAATTGATTATGAATTTGCCACAGATTCTAAGGCTTTTACTTTAGGTGATAGAATACCTATACATATGACCTTAATACCTTTAGAAAAAAAATTATCGATCGTTCAATTTAATTGTAAATTAATGGAACATATTACTTATCAAATTGGAACTCAAGTTAAAGAAGAAAATCGAATCGTTCGTCAATATCATGACATGAAAATTGATTTCAATCAAATTTGGAATAAAACTTTTGAATTCATTTTACCTGATACAATATCTTCATGTCATTATGATTCTCAAAACGAAATTATCAAAATACAACATAAATTGAAATTTAGTGTCATATTTAATAATAGCGGTGATGAGAAAGATAAGAATAATTTAGAAATAAAAGCTACCCTGCCAATTATAATCACTCCATTTTCTTCTAATAATGATGGTATGATGTTACCTGCATATAGAGAACATTATCTTGATCAACCTTATGTTGAAGACTTAGTTCCTTCTCTTTCATCTTCATTATCATCTTCACCTTCCTCATCGTCAACTTCTCTATCATCTTCACCTTTATCTTCACCTTCATTGTCAACTTCTCTATCATCATCTTCTATTTCTTCTCTCACGGATTCTTTTCTTGAAATGATTAATCCAAAGTCATTATTTGATGAATCAAAATTAAATTCCTTACCTTCTTATCGAAGTATAACTTCTTCTATACCTGCTCCTCTTGCAGATTCATCATTACCCCCTATTTATAATGACTATGTTATATGAAATTTTTTCAACCCTGTGTCATATGAAATTCCCTAACTTTATATTTTACGAGAAGCTTCAAATTCTTCACTCTTTTCATAAAAAAAACTTAGATATATATGTATTTTATATATAATTTCTAACAATTTACAGATATAAAATTTATAACAAAAATTTAAAAATTCATAATTCAAAAGTTTTTTATCATAGAATTCAGATTAATTTAATTATTTAGTTTTTTTCTTTATCATGATTAAAAATTTCTCTTGATTCTTTACATTTTCTTCATAAATTAGTAATAAATTTCTTGTATATAATGTACTATTATTATTTATTTCGTATATCAATATAATTAATGCATATAAAAAAATAAAATTAAGAAATGAAATGTCAAAAATTTAAATACGATAGTATCACCTTGAATAAAAATTGTCCTAAACTTGTTAATTTTTAAATTATAATTTTGGTCAAATTTATAATGCCGGCCTAAATTTGAAAATATAGATTAATAATAATCCCGAATTTTCTTTTACATGAGCTTATCTAAATAAGTATCATAAATATTATGTTAGAGATGTTATTATTTAGAATATGTTCTTTTTATATAATCTGTTCAAAGTTATAATATTTTTAACAATGGTAATCTTAATGACAAAATTGCATTTACATCTCAAGAATTTATTTGGAAAACCAATAAAAACTTACTAAACTTATTAAAAATAATTATATATCAATTTGTGAGCTCACGATTTTTTTTCGTAGCCTCATTGATTTTAGTTTTTTTACTTCCCAATATATTTTATGAAGCTAAAATTTCAACAAAAGAATTTGGAAATGTTTAAAGTATCAGAAAATCAACTAATTTTTATAAAATTAATTGATAACCCACCAGTCAACTATTGAAATTTTAATTCTTTGTAAATGCAGAGTGTTTTCATATAAAATTTTTTTTAATTTTTATATAATTTTTTATGACAATTCTGAGATATAAACTATTAATTTATTATTAACTAGTGCGAGGGTGGCACTTTGTGCCATCATCTTATTTAGGTTTTCATTGTTGTGTCGTGAGGTAGTATATTGATTATTCTTTGGGTGTATGTTTCGCTGTTTCTTTTTTTTCTTTTTTTGACAGGGTGGGTAAATTATTAAGAGTAAGCCTTGACATAAGAAAATTTATATTAATCAAAGGATTTATGGAGAAGTCAATTGAACGGAAATTTGTGTAATGAAATGATCATTGAGAGAAATGGGTAATAGGTAGTGTCAAACTTGCTTTAATTACATCATATATTAGTAATGTTAAATTCGTTTTACTTAAATCATGATGATTGATTTTTTAAGTTTACTGGGAAGTAAACTTTATATAAACTTGTGATTTCGTTGAATTTTTTTGTTTTATTGTGGCGAATAGATTAAGCTTTACATTATCCATGTTGTGCTGATACTATTGTAAGAATTAAATATGTTCGAAAAACTGAAAAGAATGATACTAATTTGTTGGTTGTATGGGCTATTGGTGTTTATCCAATAGAACGTGAAGATAGTGAGATTGAAATGGTTTTATTTGTTCCTATTGATTTGAGGGAAAGGGTTCCTGAAACTCAAGCAGTTTTTGAGAAGGATAGTTTCTATCCTGTTGGTGGAAAATTGTACCTGGATATTATGGAGGTGTTAAAAAGCCAAAGGTAATAGTTATTGGTTAATTTAGTTATTTAAATTTTGTACTTATTTTTTTTTGTTTGTATAGATGATGGTTTCTGTTTCTACTGGTTTATCTGTTTTTAACAAAGCACTAAATTCAAATAAATGTTCATTAAAAGTTTCTTTGGTGGTGTCAAATGCCCAATACGACAATGTTCTGAAGGATAGAGAATCTTCTCTAACAAAAACTAACAAAAGGTTATGTACAGTACATAAAGTAATAATTTAATTTATTCTTTCTTCTGCAACATTTAAACGCAAACTTTTTTACTTTTTGCGTTGGGTGGCGTATTATGCTTTTTCTTACATAATTGTATAATGGCGGTTCTGGTGTAATGATGCTTAGAAATTGTTTGCGTTTCTGTGTGGTGGATGGCGTATTATGCTTCACACAATGTAACATTCCCTGTTTTCTTAAATCATTGTAATCATTATGTATGATATTAAATGGTGGTTCTGGTGTGTGTGATGCTTAGACATGTGCGGTGGGTGACGTATAGCTTAACACAACACAACACTCCCTTGTTTTCTTACACACATCATTGCTTGTTCACATATAGTCGTAGTGAACATTTTTTTTAGCCACAATTGTAAAAATAATAAAACAATCAAAGAATTTAACTGAATACGTTTTTCAACCTATTATCTTATCTTTCCATGATTTTATTCTATTGTTTATTTATTTGAAAAAATAAATCAAACCATATTGTTACAGAGATCTATCTAGTAAATATAATGAACAATAGTATTATAGTTATTATATCTATTTATTGTCAATTACAACAGGAAGAAAATTTCAATTTATATACTGCATATTTTCAAGAAGGTTAAAAAAAATCGCAACACGAGATTTTATGAACGTACTTTTTTTACATAGATAACGATAAAACCATTTTTTTTTACATTTTTTTTTTGGTTCTGCGAAATAATTAAAATAATAATGAATGATTACATATTTATTTTTTTTATTGATTTTGATGATATCGCTTCGTACGTTCCGTTAAAGATTTTCTTACAGGATATATAACAGGAATGACGTTTTTTGTATGTCGTAATTTTATTCTTTTGTTGCAATTTTGTTTAATTGTTAAAAAAACCTATGCGCAAATATGCAAGGAATCCTAATAAAGAACTTTCAAGACATTCTCGATAAATTGGGCGAGTGCGTTAAATGTGTATGTACGTGATTTTTTTTTATATATAAAAAATATTTTTCCTTAAAGATCAAGAATTACTTTTTTGTCTCAAAAATGGGATTTTCATGCATGTATTCTTTTTAATTCTAATGCAATGTAGAAAGTGTGGAAATGGTTCGTGAATTATACCTACATTTTGTTACCAGAATTAAGCAGAATTAGCCGAATTAAACTTAAATTATCAATTCAGAGGATCACATGATAATATAACAAATTTATAAACTACATACGTCATGAAACATAATAAATATGTCAAGTGATAAATATATTTTTTATTGGTGATGAAATAAAAAGATATTAAAAGAGATTTTAATTAATATTTTTTGGCGGAAATTACTATAAAAAGGTGTTAATAGAGATTTTAATTAAATATTTTTGTCAGGAATTACCATTTATCATTCAATAACACTAGATAATACCACAAAACGAAATTTATGATGAGAAAAAAAGAAAGAAACAGTTGATGCAGAGAATTTTTTTTAAAAATGTCCTTATTCCCCAAAGTAATTATTCTTATACTAAAAAAAGAAATCATTTCTTCATTTCTTTATGATTCTTTATGCAAGTTTAATTTATTAGATACAATATTTTATCTTTACCAATAATCAAGTATTATTATTAAAAGCATATTCATGTGTTGTCATCGTGTCACTTTGAATTTTAATGATAAAGAACGCGAATCGCACTCTCCTTCACACAATATTATCTCCGTCTAATATTAACTTTCATTAACTCATATTAATTTTAATGAACATTGTATTATAACGTTATTTATTCGCCTTAAATCACTTTAAAATAAATCAACTTTAATCTTGATTTTTTCCCATACAACTTGTTTGAATTTCCTTTCTTTTTTAACTTGGGTTTTTTTTTGAAAAAAATTTATCAATAAATTTTAATTATGTGACGTTTTGATTCATTCCTTATTAAATGATAATACTACAAAGAATTCTCCTTTTTCACTAAAAAATGCCTTTAATATTAGTGATGTTGCTATTTGGACTGCGAAATTTTGTATTATTTATATTTGTTTTTATTACCATTATTATTATTATTATTCTTATTATGTTTTTTTTTTATTTAATTTGTATTTTGAATTCGATTATTTATATCTAAATCTTATTTAATAATCTAGGAGGTGGAGGAGGTAAGGTATACCTGGTTGTCTAAATAGCCGCATTGTTTGAAATCGGATTTGCGATTAATTATTGATTATTGGTAATTGGGTAATAATAAATATTTTAATAATAAACAAGGGTTTTGGGTCCGAGCCATTTTATTAGCGTGATTTTTATTTATGAATTTAGAAATAAAAAGTATTTAATAATAATAATTGAATCCTAAATTAAGCAAAAATTGTAAGTTATTAATTAATTAATTAATAATTAGTTAATACTAGTGTTGTTAACAGTCCGGTTCGGTCCGACTTGAAGCCAAAGTCAAGCCAAACCGCTGGCAAGTCAAGCCGAACCTAATCGACTTGAAGGTACAAGTCAAACCGAACCGGACCAATCCATCTAAGTTGATGGGGTCGAATGGGTTGATGGGGTCGATGGGGTTGATGGAACCGATGGGGTTGATGGATAATATAATTATATATAAAATCGAAAATAATTATCAATAGTTACTACATATGAAACATTTTTATTTTATCAGTAAATATTAAAAACAGTACTAAGTAATCTCAAAGGTAAGAATGATGTGCATCTCCTATAAAAAGCTCAGACCTATATAATCAAAATTGATACAGCAATTGGCAGTTAAATTTCGAACAGTAAAACAACAATTATTCGCTTAATTTAGATGATTTAATATAATATGTAATTAATTTCAACGTTTTTGATATTCACTTAAAATATAGAAAGTTTATATGTAGCAACGATCGATAATTTTGTATATAATTATAATTATTTTATTTAAAATCTCTCGGATCACATGATTTTATGTTTAGAGTAAATTATTATTGAACTATGTATTTAACCAGCGGGAAAATTTACCGGTGGGCAGAATTAAGTTAATGTTGGTAGGGTTAGGGTTAGGGGATTGACCAGGAATTATGTAATTCTGCCTACGGTGAAATTTCCCCCAGTGAAAATTATCATCACTCTAAATTAAATAATAAGATTAATAAGCATATATCATTAATTAAAATGATAATTTAAATCCGTCAGCAAAATAACAGGCTATATATTTATTATTATCAATCATTGCTACATATGAGACTTTTTATATCATAAGTAAATGTCAAAAATGTTACTAAGTAACCTCAAAGAGAGAAATTAATTACATATTATATTGAAAGGATAGATTTATATCATTAAAATTGAACGAAATATTATATGTTAAATTTTTCATCCATTTGAAATTTAATTACTAATTTTTATCTCAATTTTGATGGCATAGGTCTCAACTTTTTATAGAAGATTATTTCACCTTTGAGATTACTTAGTACCGTTTTTAATATTTACTTATAAAATAAAAAGTTTTATATATAGATAACATATGATATAGTTTGACCTTATTGATCCTATCAACTTACCATCAACTTGGTTGACTCAAGTCACAAATTGACCAACTTGAACTGATGACTTGAAACCCAAGCCAAACTGGTTCAGCCCTTATTCCTTTAGTTATATTAACAAAATTCGTATTTTATATTTAAATTAAATTTTTTTGTCAGAGAGGTTAGTTTTATATTTATTTTATATATTGTGTATTTTCAAAAATTCTTTATTTCATTTAAAATCTATTTAATAGATTATAACTTCAATTAAAAATTATTATTAGGTAAAAATTATATATTAAATTTAAAGAATTTTGATTGATGATTTTTTATCTGTGAAATGATATACTGTCACCGCTATCACTATTATCATTCTTGCATAAAGTACTTAAGGTTTATTCATCATTCATGGTATTTATTCTATATTAGAACCTGGTAAATTAATAAATGTCGAATAAAGTTAATTCTTAATTTGATTATACCATTCAGTTATGTATCTTTAGTCAATACTTATAAATGTAAATAAATAAAATAAAAAATAAAAAGATAAATACAAAAAAAAAATACACAAAAAATTATGATTTATTATTGTTATATACTTTGTATAACGAAAATGAATCATAATATCTTGAATGCAAAAAGATAATATTAAGTTAAAATCTAAAAGATCTAATTGAAAATAACTAAAATCTCTCTCTCATTTTCTCTAAAACAATAAATATAAATTATTCTTTCAATATATGTTCCAATTCCTTCATCACTACATTTGATTTTATTTTATTTTTTGTAATCAAATCTTGATCAGCTTGAATTTTTATTAAAATAGGTATTTCCATAATAATTGATTTAATCGTATATTTTGTTTTATATAGTATTCAATGTACTGAAATTTCAATTGTTAAGTATTAATATTTTATTGAAATTTTATTTAACAATAAAGTTTAATATTCTAAGGATAATAAGAATCTTATCCTGTCATCACATCATCTGTTTTATTTATATAACTAGAATGGCGAATTCAGATTAATAACCACTACCACTATTTTCAATACAATAAAAATATTATGTGATTCTTTTCATTTTTAAATTTTTTTTTTAAAAAATAAGATAATTAATAGCAATATTTTATTCCTTTTTCTTTTTAAAGACAAGGTATATTTTTATGATTTTTTTTGACTATGACAAGACCTACATATGGGAACTTTTTTTTCCTTTGTATTTGGATGAAACTCTAAATGAAAATT